TATACATTATATATATATATATATATATGTATATAGATTATTGCTATTTATAAATAAGTTCTTAAAATTATTTTCTTAAAACATAGAACAGTAAATAAAGAAGCAAACAATTATCTCTTCTAGTTAAACCTTTGTACTCAGTTGCTACATGATGTAGGTTGCTAAGCCTTTTAAAATTTTGCATGTGGAGGGTATGAAACAAAATAATTTTTGTAGGTTTTATATAATAATCTGTATTTCAGTCTAAAAAATTAAATATCGAGCAGACTAAAGACCCAACCTACCTACTTGAAATCTTGGTTTGAAAGAAAGAAATGGCATCCTAGTACATTAAAATGGCTAAAAAGCCACTAAGGGGACATTCTAAGCTTCCGATTGGTTATTTGTTTCATATATAGAAGTAAGCGTATATAAGGGAGCGTTTCCATAATTGGAAAGAGATGGGTGGGGTGTCACTGTGTTTGATTCATTACATGAGCAATATTTTACCAAATCGAAAAGATAAGAGGTTCCTATTTTATATTCTAGCTTGTCAATATCAGTAATTTGAGTTCCTAATTCATACGAAACTATAGACTTATTATTATGACATCACAAACATCTAATTTGAACCAATTAAGGCACACAAATTTAGCAGTTTTTATTATGATTGTATATAATTATGTGCAGGAGAGAAAGGATATGTTGGACCACCTGGTGTACAAGGGCCTCCTGGACGTCCTGGAGAAGTTGGAGAAAGAGGGTTGCCTGGTTTACCTGGACTTCCTGGATTTGATGGGCAAAAGGGAGAACCTGGTGTTCCTGGAAGAGATGGGGTTGGAGTTCCTGGATTAAAAGGTTTGTTTAGTTACTGTTAAATACATTTTATTTCAAATTGACATGTTTAATGAAAAAAATAAGATTTTATTAGCAATGTAATAAATGCTATTATGTATAAAATTATCAACATAGTTATATACATACTAAATTGTTTAATATGAAATAATATAAAATTCTGAATTGTCATAAAAGGTAAGTCTAAACAGAAAATTTAATGAAAAAATGTAACCTGTAAAGAACATAGAAAAGCAGGATGATTTATAAAAGTCATTTAGCCAATTGAGACACATCTAAGCAATCTTTTTTTTTTCATCCAACTGCAATATTGTTTATCACTTCACAATCAAATTTTAAATTAATTCAACTAGCACACACCAAATCATACTATATTGATGGAACTTTCTTCCCATTTGTTTTCAAACAAAGTGAGTTGTAGTTCATGTAAAATTGGGAATTGGTCATTGAGAGATTCAAGAAACATGTAGTGCATACACATGACTAGAATTATTTAAAAATAATATGAACCCATTCATCATGAAAAAGACTGATCAGTTAATAGTCTACATGTTATGTTATAAGTATTAGGTATATTGATATTACAATTTGATTATCATACCATTTGTATTTAGGGTTGAATCAGTTATTTAACTTGAGAAACGTACATGAAGATGGAATAACAACCTCATAGTGGTGGAATGTTGTGCATGTTTTTATTCTAATAAATTCATTTTGTTGGGGAATATAATTTCACTTAGTTTTTTTTGGACATACACCACTGCAAATTAGTACAGGTTCAGTAAATTAAAGTATATATTCACAAAACTATGAGCTATGGACTCTTACCATATAAGGCTTTTGTATAAGTTACTTTTTTATACATATGTAATAACTGACTTACAGTACACTTACTTTGAATACTTTTTATCAAATTAAAACCTGATAGTAAACTATTCTTTTGAAAAATCACTTGTCATCATATTTTTAAGATATGATGCCACTTATGAATTTTTTTCATTTTATAGAATCTTCTATAGGAGAATCAATATATGACTTAAAATCCATGTTGACTATTACAGAAGCCACATCAGTTGCACATTTGTGAAACAATACATACAGTGGTGTGTATTCATTGAAGATAGAAGAAATGCAGTTATAGGGCATCATCATATAAATAGAACAGTTGTAACCCAGTAAGAAATACATTTGGCTTAATTGATCAAAATTAATTGTGAAATAAATACATAAATTTTCTAGTTTACTTTCACTAATATATAACACAAGTTTATTTGCTAAAACTTTTCTGCCTGTTATTTCTCAAATCTGAGATCTCCATAATGCTTGTGTACTATGTCTTCACTATTATCAATATGAAAACAACAAAAGCATGGGGCAACAAATGCATATGATAAAACTTAATATTAACAATAGGAAGCAAATCAATAATATAACAATATGTTGAGGTTGGTGCTGATGGTATAGACTGCCACTATTCCTACAAAGCACTTTCAAATGTAGTGCAAGTTTATGCTCTATCAATTTCTCATATAGCAACACTTTGGAGACATTTTACAAGACATTGATCAAGCTAACAAACTACATCCCAAATATTATTAACATTCTTTCCAGTAGCTACTTAATTTTTCTCAATATTGCCTGCAGTATTCAAAAGCCATCACTCTAAAATTTTTGACATGACTGCTAACTCTAACTCTACACTGGTTAAAAAACAAACAAACAGTGTTTTGCTTACTAGTGGCACTTATAAGCACTCTTACACAGTCATACTTCTAACTATGCCTTAGTAATCAAAATAAGGTCTTAAATAGAATCTTCCCTTTTAGGATCTTTCACATGCTGAGTGAAAACAATAATTCTTCTTAACCTCAAGACATTTTCAGTCTCTAACAAAAAACGGACAGTACAATGACTAACCAAATCACAATTCCCATAATAATAAGACTGTTTTTGTTTTTTTTCATAACATAACTAATTTCATTGTACATATTCCTATTAGTCTCAATAATTTTATCAAGAGTCCCACAGTAAATACTAATAAGTCTCTTTTTTCTTTTAAGGAACCTCAAGCCAGATACTTTGTGTAATTCTAAACTAACTTCTTACCAATAAAATTATCCTTATTCTTCTCTTATTAATATGGTTTCTTTAAAATATCCTAAAAACAGGAAAAAAAGAAAATCTTAATTTTAGCAAGACTTGCGATACTAATGATATCTAATATTCTCACTATCAACAAATCTTGTAATTTCAGCAGCTTATTGCAAAGACTTCACATATGAAAGTGATAAATTTTGTTTCATTCAATTCCTAAGTCAGTATTACCAACAAATATTTTCACCTCGTGCCCTCCAAGATATGTGATAACATCTATTTTGAGGAGTTCTTTCAAAAACCAGATAAAAAATGTTAAGCACAGTGGAAGAAATATACACCTGGAAAAAAGTTAAGCACCCCCAAATATTTTTCAGGATTGCTTATTGAAAATAAGGTTTAATT